GGATCAAAATACATGACACTTTTATCTCTACATTGCCGCAATTCCGAAGCTTTGCGTTGCTCGGTTTTACAAACGGGAAGTGCAAGTTTATGGAAGCTTGTCAATCACTTCATATGAATCAGTTATCAACCAATCAGAGCACTGCGTCCAAATATTGGACGCATGCACCGAATCATCAAAGGGATCCTTGCAGGCTCTCTTTCCCCAGAGAGCCTGCTCGCAGGCTACTCGAAACCATGCTATTACCTATACAAATCGATGACAAAATACGAAATTTCGGGCACACTCCTTGCCAAATTAATCGGCACTTGGAATGTACGAGCGACGGATTGAAATTCCGTGGCGGCGGCTTTCGTGTGGAAAGCAAGTTACTTATACAGCGAATAGTGTACAAAGACTCTAAGTGCTTACAAAATATACACGTAGCTTTACTTACCATAATGAACACAAACTAGAAATCGTGCCGATTACGCAAACTTGTATTATTATTACTAAACATCATCCATGTCTTTTTAAAGAATACGAGTGAATCACAACACACACTCATATATATTATATATATTATATATATTATATATTATATATATATTATATATATATATATTATATATATTATATATTATATATATATATATTATATATTATATATATATATATTATATATATATATATTATATATATATATATATATTATATATATATATATATATATATATATATATATATATATATATATATATATATATATATATATATATATATATATATATATATATATATATATATATACAGCTCGACATATATATATGTATGTTATTTTTCGTTGAAAGACTAAAAAGAGTGCTCAATACTATAAACAGTACAGTAGAGCTATGTAATTAAAGTTATAAATATCTTAGAATAACAATGTTTTTTCGCTACTCTGAGTTTCACGATCTTGTCTGATCGATCTTCAGGCGATTTATGTCCCTTTGATTAGTTTGTTTGATTTCGTGATTTTCGTTGACGCACGCGCTTGCGATGGAAATTTCCAGCTTGGGACCGATCTTTGTGGCAACATTTTCCGACGATTTCCGATCGTTTATTAAGTAAAGTTTTCTGGTCTGCTTTCATAATGGATAGTTTTTCCTCGTTGTACAAATTACTTCGCGATGTAATTTGTGTAACGAAGCGAAACTATCAATAAGTTGTATGTCAACATAGTACATCAATAGGTACAATTTTAAATTTCTCAAATTTTCGCCTAAAAAGCCAAAATTAGAGTTGCCAACATATATAGCTTTCTTCATTAATGCCTATTCTCTAAGAAAATGTCAGTTGGCAGCTTGCAAAAAAAAAAATGCAATCAAACATTTTTTATCGGCCGTCTGATACATGCAGAAACTACTTCAAGAAAACGGTTCTTTTAACGATTGCGTCAATATCATCATTTCTCGTTGTCTCGTACCAAAATACTGGGACGACTTGTGAGTATTGCTGGTTTGTGCTCCATAGTTACAGGAACTCGAATATAATAACCTCGAGATTTCGCAACCCTTCCGCAGCTCACTTCATGAGCTGGCTTTTATCCAGTCTTGATCTTTTTCTGTTTCTTTTTCTTCTTTGAACTTGCAGAATCTTGTAAAGCCTGGAGAAGACATAGCAGTCACAAGGTTGTGTATAATAGTAATATTAATACCAATACTAATAGCAATACTAATATTAAAGGATATAGGAAAGTGTCATACCCTATGGTCATACCATGGTATCGCGATTTTTTGTTATTGCTTTAATTTTACCGCGATTGTTACTGTATATATTTAAGAACTGTATATATTTAAGAAAGCTTTTTATTGGTTGATTATGCCAATATTCTGTTTAAGGATCAATAATATTATCCATCTGCAAAATGTAGCATTTTTGAACGTTTGTAATCTGCAGAGCGTTTGTAATCTGCAGGTTTGTACGATGGACCGTTCGAAAAATAACCTATAAATATGTATAACCTTGGTAAGTTTTTTTTTTATATAAAATAACTTTATATTCCACTCCATGCAGTTTGTGTTAAAACGTTGTTTACATGTAAATCCCACTATGTAGAACACTTAAAATGCTGCAGTGTGATATATATATACTTGCATGCCACAACTGTATTTCATTGACTGTTGTTATCGTTTTATCTTAGTCAAAAGTTGTCTACAGAAAATTCGCAGCAGAAACGGAAATCGAAAAAAGAAACGAAAAAAGAACTCGACTAATATCTCCTACAGTCAATAACATAGCTATATTGTGATTGGCTGACTTGTGGTCACGTGGCTTTAGATATCAATCAATCAATCAATCAATCAATCTGTTTAATTAAAACCAATTTGCAGTTTTTAAAGGAAAACTGAATTACATGGAGTACTAATATAGCATAAAAATTTATATTAAAATGTACATATATATATATTATATAAAATAATGTTT